GCTATACTTCCACGATGTTGAATGCTTTAACAATCCACGCCGTTCGAAAAATATCCTTTCACCAAAATCTCTGAAGACTCATCCTCGAAGACCCAGGGGCTGTGAGTCGATTTCAAGGTAAGGGCAGAATAGCCCCCGGGGACATTGTCTTACAAGGCTAGTTCCAAACGGTCGCAGTCGTTCTGTCATCTGATTGGTGCCAGAAAATCTTTGTGTTTTTCTGCTCAATCGGAGTGAAGTGTGCTTCAGAGTCCTTTCGTGTGTTTTAACACGCACATATACAAGAAGCTCAGTTGCTCGCTTTGGTTGTTTGGGCCGTGATACGGAGTCTCGGTCGAGGTGAAGTGTCAGTCTCAGCACACAATTTAAGAGAAATCAAGCAGATTGTCCACAAAAATCTCACCGGAGATTATACTGAATACTTTCGCAGGTATCACAAGAGAACGTGTATAGAAGTTTGCGAGGTTCGTATAAAACACGATGGTTGCATGCATTGGTATGTCGCTTTAAACGTTAAACGAGATGTATGCTTAAATCTTTCTAGATTTTTTTGTACAATTTGCTGTCACTGAAACTTTGCGAATCTCGTGAAGTTATTTCGTCGCACGGGCCACGCAGGTATGTCGAGCAACTGGCGCTTATGCTTACGTAGCTTTCTGTGCACGCCAAAATCTAATTCTTTGCTTTGTAGTAAAGTCTCACAATGTGGCCAAAGTTGCAGAGAACGTTAAGTTCGTAGACGACCTCCAGCAAGCGCTTACAGAAAGCTTAGCTGTTTTTCCGGTTATCTAATTGAAATCTGAACAAAAACTAATTATCGAGAACATAGTGGGAAGGAGAGATGTTTCAAACAGTTACCGAAGGGGTTTGGAAAGAGTTTAATCTTAATCCTAACCCTAGTTTAATCCTAGAGTGTTCAAATTCTTGAGCTCGAAAGACCACGGATTCTCTTCTACTCCTTTGGTCATTGTCATTTCACCTCATTTGTCGATTGGTGAAGACCAAGTTAAATACCTTTGATCATTGGGAATCGATACTGCTTTCATTGGGGAAAACAAAACCAAAGACAACAGTGGATGGAAAGGGCGGGTTTGCTTTATTGTAAATGTCAGCTAAGTACAGGGTTATCCACCTACTAATAAACAAAAGTTTCCACGCTTAGCTTTTCTTTTATTTTTTTCAGGCAAAGATTAGATTAGATTTTGGCGCGCACAGGAAGCTGCGTAAGCGCCAGTTACTCGGCATACCTGCGTGGCCCGTGCGACGAAATAGCTGCACGGGATTGCAAAAGTTTCAGTTACAGCAAATTATACAAAAAATCTCCACTGGTAGAAAGATTTAAGCTTACATCTCGTTTAACGTTTAAAGCGACATATCAATGCCTGCAACCATTATGTTTTATACGAACCTAGCAAACTATTAAACACGTTTTCTTGTGATACCTGCGAAAGTATTTAGTATAATTACCGGTAAGATTTCGCTGACAATCTGATCGATTTCTCTTACATTGTGTACTGAGACTGAAACTTTTCACCACGGGCAAAGCTTTGTCGCACGGCTCAAACAAACATAGCGAGCAACAGCTTCTTTTATATATCCGTATTAAAACACACGAAAGGACTCCAAAGCACACTACACTCTGATTGCACAGAAAAAAACAAAGATTTTCTGGCACCAATCAGATCG